TTTAGTATTCTGAATGAAACAATCCCATAACAGAAATTCTGGTACCTCGGCTTTTATGATCTTTCCACCTCTTTTTCAAGGTGTTCCCTTAGCTGTAGGAATGGAGGGTGGCCACGGAAGGACTGGGAAACAAGTGGGGTTGGAGTGCATGATGTGAAATTATCAAAGAATCCATAAAAGAATTATGTTAACAACAACAAGGAGCATCTCTCATGAGGGTTGAGAGCGACACTTACGTATGGGCATAAGGATAAGTGTTCAGAATACAGTTTAATTTTATAATTGTCTAAATTATAAGTGACAGTAGAAGATTTTCTTCACAGTTGCATGATTTCACCAGCACAGGTAGTTGGCTAATTGTTTAGTACCAGCCATAAGTTACCTCCTATTGTGTGGGCTTTGTATACTCTTGCTTACCATCAAGATATATGTAATACTATTTAACTCTGGTCTGTTTTGAGGGCACATGTTCATTATCCAGCAGTTAATGGTCATCTAGTCTATTTCCATGTCCTAGCTATTGTGACTAGAGTAATTATGAACTTGATGAGCATTATTTCTATAGTGGGAAATAGAGTAATATGCCTTTGTGTAATATGCCCAGGAGTGGTGTAAGTCAGTCATGTGGTAGGGCTGTTTCCAAGTTTATGAGGCACTCCCACGATGATTTCCACAGTGGCTACAAAAATTTCCATATCATGTAGTGTACTGCCTAAGATTTCTTCTAGCAGTTTCATGTTTCACATTTAGGTCTTTGGTCCATTTAGAATTATCTTTTGTACAATGTGATAATACAAGGCTAATTTTATTCCTTTACGTGTAGGCATCCACTTTTCTCAGAACCATTTGTTAAAGATGATTTATTTTCTCCAATGCATGCTTTTGGCTTTTTTTGTTGAATATTAGATGGCTTTTGTTATGCATATTAATTTTTGGAATTTAATTTTCTTTCACTGGTCTGCAGTTCTGTTTTTATGCCAGTATCACATTGTTTTTTTATGAGTATGTTAACCCTTCTAGGATTGTTCTTTTTCTCAGGGGTGTTTTAGGTAACTTTGGTCTTTTATGATTCCATATTAATTTTAGGATTTTTTTAATATCTGTGAAGAATGAGATAGGACTTTTAATTGAGATTAAATTGAATTGTAAATGTTAGAACAGCCTCACAAAATTAATTTTATGAATCAAGAACATGGAACTTCTTTTCATTTCTAGCTTCTTTCTCTTAGATTCCTTCATAAATTTAAAGTTTCAATTAAGATATTTCATTTATTTATTTATTTGATTTCATTTTACATTCCAACCAAAGTTCTCCCTCCCACCCCATCTCACCTCCCTCTCCTCCCCTAACCTACCCCTAGCCCACTCCCCATCCACTCCTCCCAGCAGACAAGGGCTCCTATGGGGAGTTGACAAAGTCTGGTAAATTAAGTTATCTCCTTGTTTCTCTCTCTATATTTTATTTTCTTCAATGCTTTTGTGAATGGGAGTATGCTTATGATCTCTTTCTCTGTATTTCTGTTGATGGTACATAAAAAGCTTTTAATTTGTGCAAGTTGGTTGTATATTCTGCCATGTTGCTGAATTTGTTTATGATTTCTAGAAGTTTTCTCATAGAATTTTGGGATTTCATATATAAGATCATATCATCTACAAATAGAGATGATTTGACTTATTTTGTCCCATTTGTATCTCTTTAATTTTCTCCTCTTGCCTTATACGTCAGCAAGTATTTCAAGACTGATACTGAAAAGAACTGATTTCAGTGGGAATGATTAAACTTTTTTTCTTCATTTAGGAAGATGTTGGCTGTGGGTTTCTTAAATACAGCTTTTGATCGGTTGAGGTATGCTCCCTCTGGTCCAACCTCTCTGGGACTTTTATCATGAAGACATGTTGAATTTAATCAAAGGCCTTTTCAGTATCTATTCATATTATCATGTGTTCTTTGTCCTTACGCCTATTTTCGTGGTTCATTACACTTACTGACTTGTGTAGTTTGAACTATTCCTGTATCACAGGGATAAAGCCAACTTGGTCGTGGTGGGTAAATGTTTTGATTTATATCTGTATTCATGTTGTCATCATTTGAAAAAAAATATACCCCATAGGTATGTAGGCCAGTTTCTGTAGTGTAGTGGTTATCCCACTCACCTAACTATTATTCTTATTTATAAAATAATATAAATAACAAATGACAATTTATATTATATTTTATCAAAGTGTAACAAAGTCAAAAATTATTATTTACCAAAACTATATTAGAGGTACTGTGCTGGTTAATTTTTGTCAACTTGACAAAAGCTAGTCATCTTGGAAGAAGGAATTTCAATTGAGGAATTTCCTTGACCAAATTTTCCCATAGGTAAGTTTGTGGGACATTTTCCTAATTAATGATTGACATGGGAGGGCCCATCCCACTGTGCCTGGTCTCACTTCCTGAGGCATGGTCCTTGTGGTATAGAAAAGCAATTGAAACTTAGGTTATCAATCCACTGCATAAGTGCTTGTATGCACTCAGCCACATTTCTTCCTCTGCTCTTTTTTTAAAGACTGATAATGTGTTTTTCCTCACATGAGTTACTTCACTCATTATTAGCAGTTTTAAAGACATAAGTATTTAAATTCATTTTTGTGTGTGTATTTTGCCTGCATGTGTATCACCTATGTGCCTGGCTTCATAGACTTCAGAAAAGAGCATCAGAGCTTCTGCAGCAGCCATCAGTGATCTTAATTGATGATCTCCATCCCAGGAAGATAAAATTATTGAGAAAAGAATTGGGGTCAAGGATGAATTTTGATAAAAGGAAAACTATATTTTCAGCTCTCCATGGCAACCAGATCATTGAATCCACAATTTAGGCAGGTGGATAATTTTAGCTTTCAGCAATCAAACTATTTCTTTTTGAATCTTAGCACTAAGCCCAGTGCTTGTTTCTAAAACCTGAGAAACCTCAAATCTCAGCAGATAATATCTCCTGTGCTGTCAGTAATTTCTTGTCTTATTTTTATTACCTGTACTTTGCTACTGATTTTTATAATAAAAATAAAAGCATTATTTTTTCAACTTTTAACCATATTTGGAAAACAAACAGTTCACAGAAAAAATAAAAAGCAAAACCTCGCACTTCTTTTAATAAAAAGTGGGAACTTCCATGTGGCAATGTGTCCTCATTTACACATATTCTAGTCCATAGTTGTTTTATGAATCTTCTGCTCTGTACATTAGCTTTGACCAGGGGCCTTTCAAGCTTGAGCATATCCTCAGAAAAAATGATAATTACAGTCTTCATTAGAGGAAACTTTCTCAGGAGACTGCAATAAGTTTTTATTTTAATGACATAAAGACCTCTCTTGTTCTGAAAATAACAGCATTGTTCCTAATTGAAGATGTTTTGGATTTTATTCTTTGCATACATGGATTTCCTAACTGCTTTTAACTTAAAGAAAATGTTTTCAGATGACCAGCCAGAAATTTCTGGAAAGGTTTGCATTTTTTATATGACATGAGGAACTGAAGTTGGATAGTAAACTCCCTGGGGCATTTGGACAATGCCTATCTTCCCAAGACAGCTGCACAAATCCTTCCAAAACTATTCAGCCACCTGTTCATATCCTTCATGTTCCTTGGTCCTCTGAACTGCTATGACATTCTTTGAACCTCTATATCACATTTCTGTCTTCTCTACCCACACTTTAAATATTAAGAAGTACTGGTTCATATATAACATTCTGGTCTCTGTAAGTGATTGTATGGTGTTCAGCAATGAGAAGGAATTCATTGTTCTGTTTTCATCTTGCTAATAAATATTAACACTTTATAATATATTCTGTAACATTTTATTTGATGTGTATGTGTATAATTTGTTTTTCTAAGCAATAATAGGTGCCATAAAGACAGATATGTTATGCTTCCTTTTATAATAACATTCTCACCTAGTGATTTTTCCTAAAAATCACTTAATAAGATGTATCATTTGCTTATCATGTGCTGGGTATTATTTGATTCACAGTTTACTAGCAAATTTAGTTCAGGCATTACTGTCATCATCATTTTAATAGTACAGAGACTGAAGTTTAGAGACTTGTTCAAAGCCCATAAACTAATAAGTGGAATAAGTGAGATTCCAACCCAAGATAACTACAAAGATTATTCTTCTATTATAACAGCATTCTGGCCACTCATCTCTCCTTGTTAATAGAGGGTACCTCTGATCACACTGGCTTTCTGTCAACTATCTGTTTTCCAAACACAGTAAATATTAAATGAATAAATAAATGAATAATATTTTGATTTGTGTATATTTCTTAATATCTGCATTGTTTAGTTCTTGCACAAGATTATAGTTAGAAATTGATAGTTATGACAGAAGTGGTAATCTCTTCTTTTCACTGGGAAATTTCCACTAGTACAGAGTTGTGCTTATAACTGTACTGCTGAGTCTTCAAAGCCAATATGTAAGTGTTGCATTTTATATTACGTATTATGTAGTTATTGGTGCACATGTATTACTAAGTGACAATGTTAATTAGAATTTCTCAGGTAATCAACTCAATCTGTGATCTTCCCTTTAGGTAGATAGTTACCTCTTTTATAGATATCACTCATTTCACTTACACTGAAGACAGAAGTTGCTATCTTACATCTCATTTATATGTTTGTTAATTATTTTGTGGAACTGATCTGCCTGTGTATGTGTATGAGAGGGAGGACGGGAGGGAGGGAGGGAGAGAGAGACAGAGAGAGAGAGAGAGACAGAGACAGAGACAGAGACAGAGACAGAGAGACAGAGAGAGATTTTGATTCTGGAGCAGGTTTGTGTTAGATAGACCATTGGCTTAATTCAACCAGGTCACCTGCTTTTAATAGCTCTTCTCACACAGCCTGGTGAAACCTAGACCAGCTACAAAAAGATGTTAATCCTAGTCTTAAAATAGTGACTTCTGTTGAGACCTACAGATAGCTTTAGCAACTGGTCGTTTCCATGCTTCTTCTGCATGCAATTTTAGGAAAGAATACAGTACTTCTATCATGAAGATTGGAATTGCTGCTCTTGTGGCAGGAATTTTTGGTGCCGTTGGCATTATCCTATTTTTGGTAGCATTCGGAACTGAATATTGGTTACTTGCAACGGAGACCTGTGGAAGTTTTAACTCTAACAATGGAACTTTGGATATTGAAGAAGAGGTAACCAAAAATCTAATGTTTTCTTGAAAAATTGTGGAACTTGAAATAGTTGCCTATTAGAGGAGAGTAGCATTTTCAGAAATCTACATAATATTAGGTTGATTCTTTGGGCCTTTATTCTGTTAAAGTGTAGTTTTAAATTTAATAATTTTTGTTTTGAGTTGTTTCAGAGAGTGGAGATATGGAATCCAGGGTAATTTGAGCAGTAAGGAACTCAGGTTGTTATCGATATTGTTGTGATTTTATTTTCAGACTAAAACATGTTATTTTGGACGGTTAATTTGCAAAATGTCCTTCTCGTGATTTTCAAATCGTTTTACTGTGTAAAAATAATGTGGATATTTGAGGAAGAAAACAAAATGTTTGTCATAATTAGTAAGCATGTTCCTCCAGAGGCGTTCTCCAAAGTAAAAATTGTTTTCCTTTCAGGAGAGCTGAAAAGTCATTTTCACTGCTGTGTTGTTGGAACTGTAGTCCAGTGTGAAAGGTTATTTTATGGAAAGGTTTACATAGGATTCACAAAATTTTATCCAATTCAAATTTCACGAAATTCAAACATAATCATGTTATAAAACAATACTCATCTCCCACAGTTAAACAGTGCTCTTTATGCCTGCAAAATATTCATACACAAAATGCATTTACCATTTGAAGTGAATCTCCAGTGAAGAAGAAAAGCTATTGTTCTTCTTAGGTAAAACAACAAACAAACAAACTAAAACAAAACAAACCAAAAGCCTGATTCCTACTCAGTATGAATTGGTGTGATCGGGAATGTGTTAAATCTGATCCCAGTTCTCAGAAAATTCACTTTGACCTCCATTGCGACCATTCTTTGTTTTTGTATGATTTCCTTTCCAGAGGTCTTTCATTTCTGCAGTTTCTAATAAATTCACACTCATTACAGTCCCATCAATGTGTATTATTTTTTTTCTAAAGAGATCCTGGAATGCATTTACTTTTATTTGCTTACTTGTTGTTTCACAGTACATCTCTGGTTACTATCAAACTGGTGATCCTCTTGCCTCTACCTCCTGAGTACTCGGATTGCACATGCATACTTCTATTACTGTAAGGGAATATGTTTATAATGATGGATTCATTATTAAATAATGAATTATTTAACTAAAGAGATAGTTTTGGGGGGACAGCTTCCTGGTTTCTCTGATCGAATATCACCTAGACTGCCACATACTTCATTTAAACTGTAATTAGACAGTCACTGTACTCCCCAGGAAATAATAATGGACACCGTTGAGAAACACTTGCAGATACCCAAAAGAATGTTACAGCTGGTAATCATATTTGAAATCACCTAGGCCTGCTAGTTATCTCCCTCTGTATTTTTTAAATCATAGTAAGATTATTATACTGTTAACCAAATCTATTTGAGGTCTACAGTGTCTAGCACATGGACTAAAATGTTGCTGGATATGAGTATTTTTTACTGAGAGAGTTTTGCCATTTTCCAAACGGCAAGGAGCATATCTGAACTCACAGAACTTGAAGCTGAGAAACAACCAAAACTTAGAATTTCTTCTAGTGTTCTAGCCATCATTTCTTGATTATTTTATTACTTTAGGATATATTTAGTAGTGTCCATGTGTGTGGACAAAGCAAAACTCAGTCTAGACTGAATGGTCCATAAACAAGAACTAATTATTAGTGAGTCTAATGATTATTTAATGTTCCTCTTATCTTTATAATAGTGTATTTGTAAGTCATAAAGATATTTTACCTAACATGGGGGAGGGCCTAGGTCCTGTCTCAAAGGATGTGACAGACTTTAATGAATCTCCATGGGAGGTCTTACTGCCCCTGAGGAGTGGATGGGGGGATGGTGGGAGAAAATGGGAGGACTGGAGAGAGGGAATTGGGATTGGTATGTAAAATAAGATTGTTTTTAATTTAAATAAAAATTAATTAAAAATATGTACTTAATAATAAGAAGAAAATGAGTCTGCATTTTCTAGACACACACTTTGCAATATGACTCTTTTAAATTCATGGAATAATTTCTAACAAATACTGATGTATAATCACCATCAAGGGATTCAATTAGTATATAAGTAAGCCTGTGTTTAAACAAAGAAAGAGAAAAAACCTTTATGGATGATGTTGTTTATTATTCTAGACCTTCTCTGTAATATTTCATTGTTGAGCATAATATTTATAATAGCACTGCCTACAAATAAAAATTGATGAAGGCAAGGAATTAAAAATAGCAAATTATTAGAGCTTAGTGGATTTGCTTCTGTTATCTAATATGGAATTACATAGCATGGGAAATTTGTGTTTTACTCATATGGAGCAAGCAAAAACAATGAAAATATGATATTGTACATATTTTTATCTTGTTTCCATGACATAATATAATCTTGTTAAATAAGCATAATTAATACACAAAGAGAGAAAATGTTGATTTATAGCTAATACTTTATCTCATATTGTTTAACTATTTCTACTTACATTCTTTTCTTATGCTGTAGAGCTAATCAAAGATGTTTGCATATGGAACCAGTGACAGATTTCATCTGTAGCTACTTTTCTGTTTGGTCATTTTAAGCTTAAGGGTTATTCAACTATACTATGGAAAAGATTGTGCGACCTGTGCTTATTTAATACTCTACTCTGCTATTTGTCATTTCTCAAAGAGTTTAAAACAAAACAAAAAGGTTTAGAATCAATTTTACTCTAAAATTTTTATCTTAAAAGTTCCCCCATAGTATATGATAAAATTATTTACATGTAAATTAGGACTTAAAAATAAATCTACTATACAGGAATGAGATTTACAGATGTATGGAACACAATCCCCAAATGTTATAAAACAGTTAAATTATTTGTTATCCATGAGTATAGCTTATTTTGTGATCAAATGTTTCCAGTTTTTTAAAAAATAAAGTTTTCTTAATGGTATTGCAAGTTAAAATATTATACACATCTTCACAATAAAACCTGTTATGCAACAAAACAATCTGGTAAACTATCCTGAGTATTTAAAAATACATTTTAAAACCATATTATTAATTGATTTGCTATCCCTAAAGACTTATAGTAAATAATACATTTTGAAAGTATAGTTCATAGTTTTAATCGTAATAAAGTAATGAACTCTTAAAATAACATCGTAAAATACATCTTTAAGTCCAGGCCTTTCTGTTCTTATTATGACCTTATGATTTATACTCTGAAGTAAATAAAGCTTGACTGTTTAGCATTCACCTCACCAATACACTACCTTGAAAAAGGTTGAGAGTGCAGACACTTTAGCTTCTTGGTTTTTCAGTGAATTTCATTTCTGAAGAAATTTTGTTTGGTCTCATTAATTCAATTGTGAATCATGAATTATGCCAATTCCTGATCACAATTCACTGATTGTTAGCATGGGAAATCCTGTGCTATGATTTATAACCAAGAATTATGGTACAACAGATCCCTAATGGGATATGTACAAGAAATTTATGCCACTTAAAGAAAAATTAAAATAACAGGCTGTATTTATTTATACATTCTTGGAACAATTTGTTAACTTACTCATTAAAACACTGATATTACAATAATATTGTATAAAGTAAATAGGCTATGCCTTGGGTTCAAGAGGGAATTAGGTGCACAGGAAAATTTAGTTTCCAACTTAAATTGCCATTGATTAGGTGTTCTGTAAATCTATGTTGTATATTGAGCATGCTGTAAGACAAACACTGTGCATTCATTTTAACTTAGTTTTAAAATATATTTTATTTATTCTTTGAGAATTTCATACATACATACAGTATATTTCTGTCATATTTACTCATCCTTCTTTCTTCAACTTATTTTGTGTCTGTCTCCCGTGTTTCCTTCCCAAACTTATTGTTCTCTTTTATCCCATAAAGGAAACTAAGTCTCTACTAACAGTCATCAACTGGCAATAGCTCCTCAGCTTTGGGTGACAGCTCATTTATTCATCTCTCATGCATGGTATAATGTTGATTCACTTGATCTTATGTAGGCAATCACATGCATTTTTGAGTGCACTGACCTTGTCATGTTCAAAATATGCTGCTTCACTTCAACCCTCCTCTATGTCTTGTCTTTCTTTTACAACCCTTTTGCACCCTCTTATGCAATGTTCCCTGACTCTTATGGAGTGGCTTTGGAATGCTTACCTCATTTAACAGGTGAGCATTCCAAAGACACTTATTTTCTCACTTTGACCAGTCATAAGTGTCTGTGTTAGTCACCATCTAGTATACAAAGACAAGTTTCTGACAAGGAATGAGAATTACACTAATCTTTTAATATGGAGATACAGTATTATTTAGAGAGAAGTTTGAGACTGTGTCCACTTAACTAAATAATAGTAGTGGGTACATTCCTAAAATGTATGAGATCCTCAACCATATGTACTTGGCCAGATTTACAGTATCAGGCATGAGTTTTTTTCTGTAGAGTAAGCCTTAATCCAGAGAGCAGTTGGTTATCTGCATAATATTCATACCACTATTGGACCCATGGGGATATCTTTCCAGACCAGTTGTTAAGACCACTTACAGTGTTTAGAACTGGTTAAGGCTATTGATGTCCTTTACCCATGCATCCTATATATTACTCCCTCATACCATGAAAGCTAGTCGATAGGAGGGAGCTTCCAAGTCAGTGCCAGCATGATTTCTCTATCTGTGACCAAAGAATTTGATGTCTTCAGCAATAAAGACTTACCATCAAGTTCTTATGGGTAACCAAGAACACATGTCTATGTTTACCACTTGAGGGGATACTGGACACTGGGCCTTTTATTTAGCAACTTAAGACTTCTGGAAAGAGCATTGTCCTCAGTGTAGGGTAACTTAATTAATACTTTGTGTGTGTGTGTGTGTGTGTGTGTGTGTGTGTATACAGGTGTCTACACACACACATGTGTGTATGATGTTTATAGAGTAGTTCTTTTCATATGGCTTTCCAAACACCCTAATGTTAGTTATTCCTCCTCCACTCCTTCCCTTTCCTACTCACCAATCCCACTCTCCACATAAATCTTCTTCATCATTTACTATTTTGAAAACCTCAAGCATAATTCTTGAGAGACATGTATAACAATGATTCATCAATATATCACAAAACCTTAAAATATTAAACTTTTCCTGTATTCTCATTAAAGCAATTTAAGTTCTTAGTGTTCAAGTTAATATCTGTTCACTATCAAGAATGATATTACTTATAAGGTCATTCAAATTGAAAAAATTAAGAGCTACCAAGAGAAAATGAATCAGAATATTCAAGACAGCAAGATCATTAGTTGTACACACTAGTACAAAGAAAATGCTGGAAAGCATGTTATAAAACTGTATTTCCTAACCTGTCATAAGTGGTATTTCAGCATGTTGTAGAATTCATGAAAAAACAAGTCATACATAGTGCTGTAATTTAAATTATTTTATTTCACAGTATGATGAAGATATGCATGACTATGAAGAAATGTCAGTGATTTACCACCATGAAGGATTCTTCTGGAGGTGCTGGTTTTTTGGAGATGATCCACAAACTTCAGTTTGGAGATACTGGTTTAGTGAGTATGAGATATTATGTATGTGTGTTAAAAGTGTGGCCTTATTTTAGCTCCCGAAATAACCTCTTACATAGGAATTGGAGGAGATGCTTTGCAGTGACAATATATATTGTATCTAAACACCCCAGGTTTGGAAGGTTACTCTTTATCACATTTGCTCTAGAAGACAGTTGAATTTCCTTATATCCATGGATTTTAACCGATCACTTTGTGCATGCTAAACAAATGTTCAAGAATCAATTTGTAGCTGGGCATTGGTGGCACAAACCTTTAATCCCAGCACTCGGGAGGCAAAGGCAGGAGGATCTCTGTGAGTTTGAGGCCAGCTTGGTCTACAGAGAGAGTTCCAGGACAGCCTCCAAAACAATACAGAGAGACCGTGTCTCGAAAAACCAAAAAAATAATCAATTTGTAACATAAAACCAATTAATAAAAGTGCATTTATGTTATTTGTGTCTTTGCATGCAACTCTAACTTGCTAAGTGAGAACTTAATTAAATTTTGAAGGCTTCAGTTTAATGTAGCAATAATTATTTAAAATAATTTTATTTTAAAATACTGACAAGGATTATAATTGCCTGCCTAAATAGTATTATACCTTAGAAACAGAGATTGTCATTGTGGATTTATAATTCTGTGTTACCATAGGAAAATTACTTAACTATTCTTATCATCATGATTGGTAACAAATTTTATCAGCATTAATTTGATATGTAACTCCATGGTGATGAATAAATATCAAAGCCTTGGCTTTTCTATATGTCTAGGTATACTTTTACTTCATCAAGCTATACATCAAGTCAATAAAGTTGATGAGTTAGACTTGAGTTAAATTACACAGTTGAAATATTACCAAACATAATATACATTTAGTATATTATTTTCAGCACAGCATAGATTTTAACTCATTATATGATGATAATAATAATGATGTCATCAAAATATCTGCTACCACACTTTTTATCATATCTGGTTGTTTTTAAAACTAGAATATGTGTGTATCCTAAAGATTGATATACAAGCAAATTTACAGGTTCTACTTTTCTGAAGGGAAACATAGGAGTGGATGGGGGAATTTAGGGGAGGGGAACTTCAGTCAGGAAGTAGTATATGAGAGATGAATAAATAAAAATAATTGTAAAAGAGGCTCTTCTATAAATGGTTGAGCTGATTTTAATCTCAATATATTAAAATCCTGTTTCAGGACTAATCACAGATCAGACTGATCGCTAGATATATATTAATAACTTAATATATATTCAGAATAATGATACAAATATATTTTAGAAATACAAGAGAATATACAAGAACTATTGCCATCATTGAAGGCATCAAGTCTTTTGTATATCTGAGAAAAGAAGGAGATAAATAACAAGTACATAGAACAGAGACTAAATATGGCTCAATGTGTAAGATAACTTTCTTTGCAAACATGAAGACCTAACTTCAATTCCTCATACCATGTTAAAAGCTGGGTGTGGCCTTCACTGTTGTGAGATGTGAAGTTAAGAGGATTACTGGGCCAATTTTTAGGAAGTAGGCTTTGCGTGTGTGTGTGTGTGTGTGTGTGTGTGTGTGTGTGTGTGTGTGTGTGTGTGTGTGTGTTGGGAGCTGGAAGAGCTTTTGCATCTTGTGGATGTTTCGTGGAATCTTGTTTTTGACCACACTTTGATCTGTTCCTTCCAATTTGTTCTTATCAAGATATAAATAACCAGTCTGTACCTTTCTTACAATTATTGGCTCCTGTATCTGGAGAGATACCAACATACTTGTCAGCCTCATAGCTTGAGTATTTCTTCACATGTTCTCATTCTTTTTTATTTAAATTAGAAACAAGCTTGCTTCACATGTCAATCCCAGCTCCCTCTCCCTCTCCTCCTCCCCTGCCCACTTAGAAATACCCCCAATGCCCAGTCCACTTCCAAGGAGCATGAGGCCCTTCGTAGGGGATCTCCAAAGTATGTCATATCATCCGGGGCAGGGCCTAGGCCCTCTCCCATGTGTCCAGGCTGAGACAGCATCCCTTCAGGTGGAATGGGCATCCAAAGTACATCTGGATACCAGGGATAAATGCTGAGCTGTTGCCCGAGGCCCCAAAGAATGCTGAAACCTCCTCACTGACACCCATGTTCAGGGGGTCTGGATCAGTCTCATGCTAGTGTCTTGGCTATCAGTCTGGAGTCCACGAGCTCCCCCTCTTTCTGTGGGTTTCACCAGCCTGGTCTTGACCCCTTGCTCATAACTCCTCCCTCTCTGCAACTGGTTTCCAGGAGTTCAGTTCAGTGTTTAACTGTGGGTGTCTGCCTCTGCTTCCTTCAGCCACTGAATGAAGGCTCTAGGATGGCATACAAGGAAGCTGTCAATCACTTTATCAGGGAAGGGCATTTAAGGTAGCCTTTTCACTATTGGTTAGATTGCCAGTTGGTGTCATCCTTATAAGTCTTTGGACATCTCACTAGTGCCAGATCTCTTTTCAAACCTATGTTGACTCCTTCTATTATGGTATCTCTCATCCTGGTCTCCTCTATTCTTCCCCGGACTCAACCTTCCTGCTCCCCCATGTCCTCCTCTCCCCTCCTCTTCCTTCACTCCCTCTCCTTCTCTCCCCTCTCCCCATGCTCCCAGTCCTCTCAGGAGATTCTGTCCCTTTCCCCTTCTTTGAGGGATCATGTATATGTCTCTTTGTGTCCTCCCTGTTTCGCATACTCTCTGGCTGTGGGAATGTAGGCTGGCACTTCCCCGTTTCATGCCTAAAATCCATAAATGAGTGAGTACATACTGTGTCTGTCTTTTTGTGACTGGGTTACCTCACTCTTGATGGTTTTTTCTAGTGCCATCCATTTGCTTGCAAATTTCAAGATTCCATTGTTTTTTTTTTCTGCTGAGTAGTACTCCATTGTGGAAATGTACCATGTTTTCATTATCCATTATTCAGTTGAGGGGCATCTAGGTTGCTTCCAGGTTTTGGCTATTACATATAATGCTGCTATGAACATAGTGGAACAGATGTCCTTGTTGTATGAATGTGTATCATTGAGTATATGTGTAAGAGTGGAATTGCCGATTCCCATTTTCCTGAGGAATCTCCATACAGATTTCCAAAGTGGGTGTATGAGTTGGCACTCCCACCAGCAGTGGAGGAGTGTTCCACTCTCCAGCCAACCACACCCCCAAGCCCCCACTCAATCCCGACTCCGTTTCTCAGGAAGGGTAAGGCTCTCCATGTAGGATCTCCAAAGTCTGTCATATCATTCAGGGCAGGGCCTAAGCCCTCCTCCCTTGTGTCCAGGTTGAGAGAGTATCTTTCCATGTGGAATGGGCTCCCAAAATCCATTAGTATGCCAGGGATATATACTGATCTACTAACTGAGGCCCAACAGATTGCCAAGGCCTCCTCACTGACATCCAAATTTACAGGGTCTGGATAAGTTGCATACTGGCCTCTCAGCCATCAGTCTGGTGCCCATGAGTTCCCCTTGTTCAGGTCAGCTCTAGGTATGGGTTTTACCAGCCTGGTTTTGACATCTTTCCTCAACACTCCTTCTCTCTACAAATGGGTTCCAGAAGTTCAGTTCACTGCTTAGCTGTGGGTGTCTGCCTCTGCTTCCATCAGCCACTGAATGAAGGATCTAGGATGGCATATAAGGTAGTCATTAATCTTATTATCGGGGAAGGGCTTTTAAGGTAGCCTCTCCACTATTGTGTAGACTGCCAGATGGTGTCATCCTTGTAGATCTCTGGAAATCCAACTAGTGCCAGATCTCTCCTAAAACCTATAATGAATGCCTCTATTATAGTATCTCTCATCCTGCTATCTATTCTTACCTCAACTCAAACTTCCTGTTCCCACATGTCCTCCTCTTCCATCTTCTTCTCCCTCTCTCTTTCTCCCTGCTCCCTATCCACCACTCCTAGGCTCCCAATCCTCTCAGGAGATCCTGTCCCTTTTTCTGTCTCTGTGGTACAATGCATAGCTCTCTTAGGGTCCTCCCTGTTTCCCATAATTTCCAGTAGTGGGATTGTAGGTTGGCACTCCCATGATCCATGTATAAAATCCATATATGAGTGAGTACATACCATCTTTGTTTTTTTGTGACTGGGTTACCTCACTTAGGATGGTTTCTAATAGTGCCATCCATTTGCCTGCAAATTTCAGGATTCCATTGTTTTTTTTCTGCTGAGTAGTACTCCATTGTGTAAATGTACCACATTTTCTCTATCCACTCTTCAGTTGAGGGGCAACTGTGTTGCTTCCAGGTTCTGGCTATTACAAAAACTGCTGCTATGAACATAGTCAAACAAATGTCCTTGTTGTATGAGTGTGTATCATTGAGTATATGCTTAAGAGTGGAATTGCTGGATCTTGTGGTAGACTGATTCTCATTTTCCTGAGGAATTCCATAATGATTTCCAAAGTGGCTGTAAGAGTTCACACTCCCACCAGCAGTGGAGGAGTGTTCCCCATTCTCCACAGCCTCTCCAACATAAACTGTCATTGGTGCTTTTGATTTTAGCCATTCTTACAGGAGTAATATGATATCTCAAAGTTGTTTTGATTTGTGTTTCCCTGATGGCTAAGGATGTTAAGCACTTTCTTAAGTGTCTATCAGTCATTTTATACTCTTCTATTGAGAATTCTCTATTTAACTCGGTACCCCACTTTTTTTTTTGGTTTTTCGAGACAGGGTTTCTCTGTGGCTTTGGAGGCTGTCCTGGAACTCACTTGGTAGTCCAGGCTGGTCTCGAACTCACAGAGATCCGCCTGCCTCTGCCTCCCGAGTGCTGGGATTAAAGGCGTGCGCCACCAACGCCCGGCTGGTACCCCACTTTTTAATTGGATCCTTTGGTGTTTTAGAAACTTGCTTCTTGAGTTCTTTGTAAATTTTGTAGATCAGCCCTCTGTCAGATGTGGGGTTAGTGAATATCTTTTTCCATTCTGTGAGCTTCAGTTTTGTCTTGTTGACTGTGTCCTTTGTCTTACAAAAGCTTTTCAGTTTCAG